AGCCGCTCCGCGGGAGAAAGATGAGGCTTTCTACTCCCGTAAGGATTTACACCCTCGGAAAGTTGCTATGGGTCGCAACTGACTCGATGGCACTTAACAACAACGATGATACTTGAGCAAGTTGGTGACACGGTGGACTTGTTGGACTGCTAACCACAAGATTGGCAGTTCAAACCCACCAGCTACTCAAGGGAAGAAGACGAGGCTCTCTGCTCCCACAAAGATTTATCCCCCTGTGAACTCAAAGGGATACTATGAGTTGGAATTAACTTGATATAATGGGTTTGGTTTAGGTTAGTTATGGTACCTGAAGGAGCCGTAGTGGACTAAGCATTGACTGCTAACTACAAGGTGTGCAGTTCCAATCTATCAACCACTCTATGGGAGAAAGATGGGGCTGTTGGATCCCTTAAGGAGTTTGTCTTGAAAAGCTTAAGTAGTGATTCTCCTCTGTCTCCTATAGGGTTTCAGTGAGTTACAATCATGGCAGTAGGTTTACTGTTGAATTTTTTTTCTTCAGTTCCCCCAGCTTGAGAAATGCTGAGCATGTTCGTCCTTTTTGGTTTTCTGATTTCAGATCTTTGCACATTTTGTTGTAATATTTGGCTTTATCTTCTCAAGCTGATGTTTGAAATTTTCTGTTCAGCTCTTGGACCTCCTCATTTCTTCATTTGCTTTAGCATCTCTACACTGGAGAGCAAGTTTCAGTGTCTCTTCTGACATCCATTTTGAGCTTTTCCTTCTTTCTTGTCTTCTTAATGACTTTTTGCTTTCTTCATATATGATGTTCATGGTGTCATCCCACAACTGGTCTGGTCTTCGGTCTTTAGTGTTTAATTTATCAAATCTGTTCTCTAGATGATGTCTAAATTCAGGTGGGATATATTCAAGATCATATTTTGGCTCTTATGGACTTGTTTCCATTTTCTTCTGCTTCAGTTTGAATTTACATATGAGTAATTGATGGTCTGTTCCACAGTGTGCCCCTGGCCTTGTTTTGACTGATGATATGGAGCTTTTCCATCATCTCTTTCTGCAGATGTAGTCAATGTATTAGAATCCTTTAATTTTTCAAGTCTAGGCTTGATTATTTTCCTCAATTCCCTCAGCTTGTGGAATGCTGAGTGTGTTCTTCCCTTTTGGTTTTGTAATTCCAGGTGTTTGCATATTTCATTATAATACTTGACTCTGTCTTCTGGAGCTTGCGTTTTAAATTTTTCTATTCAGCTTTTTTACCTCATTACTTTCCATTTGCTTTAGCATCTCTACACTGGATAGCAAATCTCAAAAGTCTCTTCTGACATCCATTTTGGCCTTTTCCTTCTTTCTTGGCCCCATAATGACCTTTTTGCTTTCTTCCTGTATGATGTTTTTTATGTCATCCCACAATGCTTCTGGTCTTTGGGCTTTAGTGTCTAATGCATCAAATCTGTTCTTGAGATGATCTCTAAATTCAGGTGGGATACATTCATATTTTAGCTCTCCTGGACTTGTTTTTGTTTTCTTCAACATGAGTTTGCATATTGGCAGTTAGTGGTCTGTTCCACAGTCTTTCCCTCACCTTGTTTTAGCTAATGATGTGGAACTTTCCCACCATCTCTTTCCACAGATGTAGACAATTTGATTTCTGTGTATTTAATCTGGTGAGATCCATGTGTATAGTCATTTTTTATATTGTTTAATAAAAGTATTTGCAATACTTTTGTCATTGGTCTTGCAAAACTTTATCATGTTGTTTCCAGTCTTTGCATTCCAATTGCCAGTAATTATCAAAACATCTTGATTAATATGTTTGATCAGTTTAAGACAGAAGTTGTTGTTGTTGTTGTTGTTGTTAGTTGCCATCGAGTCGGTACCTACTCATAGCGACCTTTTACACAGCAGAAAAAAACACTGCCTGATCCTGGGCCAGCCTCGCTACTGTTGCCACGCTTGAGTCCACTTGGCCAATTCATCTCATTGGGGATCTTCCTCTTTTTCTCTAACCCTCCACCTGACCAAATATGATATCTTTCTCTTGCGACTGGTCCCTCCTGACAAGTTGTTAGAATTCTGTTTCATCATCACTGGTTTTAGTGGTTAATGCGTAAATTTGAATATCGGTGGTATTAACTGGCCTTCCTTGTAGGCATATGGATTGTATCCTACCACAGATAGCATTGTACTTAAAGACAAATCTTGATATGTTGTTTTCTATGAAGAATTGCAACACCATTCCTCCTCAATTTGTCATTCCTTGGCATAGTAAACCATGTGATTGTCAGATTCAAGCAGTCCATTTCAGCTCACTAATGCATAGGATATTGATGTTAATTCGTTCCATTTCATTTTTGACAGTCTCCTATTTTCCTAGATTCACTCCATGTTCCCATTATTAATGGATGTTTACAGCTGTTTCTCTTCATTGTGAATTGTGCCCCGTCAGCAAATGAAGGTCCTGAAGCTTTTACTCCATTTGTATCACCACAGTCAATTTTACTTTGAGGAGGCAGCTCTTTCCTAGTCATATTTTGAGTGCCTTTTAACATGAGAGGCTCATCTTCTGGCACTGTATCTAACAATATTTTGGTGCTGTTCATGTTTCAGTATTAAGTGTTCTGGTGTTAACAGTGTACCACTGTTATTAATAAGGTTTTCAGTGACTGAATAGTCGGAAGTACTCTGTCCTCTTCCTTAGTCTGTCTTTGTCTGGAAGCTCCGCTGAAACCTGTTTACCATGAGTGAGCTGCTGATATTTAAAATACCCATGGCATAGCTTCCGGCATCATAACAACATGCAAGCCAAGAGCAACTTTCAGTGTCTTTTTTTTATTTTTAAATACAACTTTATTCTGGTTCTAAACTATAAGGAATGGGAATGATAGTAACAAACAAGATTTCACCACTGCATAGTGTGATACGACTGTTGTTGTTATGTGCCGAGGAGTCAGTTCCAACTCATAGAGACCCTGTACAGGGCTTCCGAGGCTGTAAATCTTTACGGGAACAGAAAGCCTCATCTTTCTCCCATGGAACAGCTGGTAGTTTCGAACTGCTGACCTTGCGATTTGCAGCCCAATTCGTAACCACTACGCTGCCAGACTACAGCGGTCATGTATTTGAAACTCAAAAAGGAAACAGCTAGCTGTGCACCAACAGCTAGGTATGTAGGTCCAAAAAATGAAGGCGGTATTTTTAACTGCCACATTCATCTTCAGCATCCCAAAGATTAGCACATGTTCTACTTGGCTTTATAATAAAGTGGCAAACACTCTGCACCACTGACATCACAGGACAGTTCCCTATAAAACTAGATTTCTGATGGCTTTCGTCCTCTTACAGGTCTTCATCCTCATGCAATAGAGCAGTTGTCTGTGCAACCTCTAAATCATGCTCATATTGTGCTCATATTGGGTGGGTCCACGACAACTTCTGGTGGGACAAGAACTGTCATGGCAGCAAACTCCAAGTTAGAATCTCCAGCTGGTTTTCTAGCAAGCCAAAGGAAGAGCTTTTCAAAAGTTGTAGTTTTGGCAAAAATGCCATAGAACTAGAGATTATTATTTTAGTAGAGGACAATTTTGCCTTAACTTTCCTGTCTTTAATGTCCACTTTGTTGCCACACAACACAATAGGGATATGTTCACGTACTGAAGCCAGGTCCCTATGCCAGTTAGGCACATTCTTGTAAATAACTCTTGAGATTACATTAAACATTATAAGGGCACACTAGACTTGAATATAATGGCCATCTCTCAGTCCCCCAAATTTCTCCTGACCAGCTGTTTCCCACAAATTGAATTTAATCAGTCCTCTATTAGCTTTCATAGCATAGTGGTTATGAGTCGGGCTGCCAGCCTCAAGGTTAGCAGTTCGAAACTACCAGCGGTTCTGTAGGAGAACGATGACGCACTCCGCTCCCGTAAAAGATTTACATCCTCAGAAACCCTGTTGCAGGGTCACTATGAGTAGGTACTGACTCCACGGTACTTAACAACAACTGTTAGTATGGAACACAGAATGGACGTCAACTCCCAAGGTGACTATATACTTGTTCTCAAATTCACCAATAAGATGCCATTTCACAAATGTAGTTTTTTTAGTACCGCTATCACCAACCATTATAAGTTTGAACTCGACTTAGGGTTGTCCTTGGGTGTGATGGCTCTTCCAAGAGGATATCTGGGCCTCAACTTTCTCAGCCAGAGTCTTTTTTGATAACCTTTTTTTCTTTGCTTGCTTTCTTGTCTAAATGACTTTATAATTCCTTCCTGTAGTTCTGATATTCTTATGTCATCCCCCAGCTCTTCAGATTGTAGGTTATTAATGGCCAGTGCATCAAATCTCTTCTTGAGGTGCTCTCTAAATTTAAGTGGGATAAGGTCATATTTTGGATTTCATGAACTTGTGTTAATTTTCTTCATTTTCAGCCTGAACACGCATGTGAGCAGTTAGTGATCTGATTCACAATTGCATCCGCCATGTTTTGACTGATGACATTGATCCTCTCCACCATCTCATCCCACTCATCTATGCCCAGAAACTAGATAAATTTAGGCTCATTATATATTTAAACTAGGATGCCACTGACTTGTTCATTTTGTGTACTGAGCAAATAATCGAAAAGGCTAGATTGTATGAAGACTTTGGCATCAAGAATGGCGTTAGACTCTTAAACAGCTTGTGATACACAGATGGCACAGCCTTGCTTGCTGGAAGCGAAGAGGACTTAAAATACTTGCTGATGAAGATCAAAGATTACAGCTTTCAGCAAGGATTGCACTTTAATGTAAAGAAAACAAAAATTCTCACAACTGCACCAGTCAAATCATAATAAATAGATGAAAGTCTGAAGTTGTCAAAGACTTCATTTTGCTTAGCTCCACAGTCAACTCTCATGGAAGCAGCAATCAAGAAATCAAATGACGTATTGCATTAGACAAATCTGATGCAAAAGACCTCTTTAAAAGTGTTCAAGAGCAGAGATGTCTGAGAGGACTAAGGTGCGCCTGACCCAAGCCATGGTGTTTTTGGTAACCGCATATGCGTGTGAAACTTAGACAGTGAATAAGGAAGAATGCAGATAAATTGATATGTTTAAATTATGGTGTTGACCAAGAATATTGAAAGTACCAGGGACTGCCAGAAAAACAAATAAATCTGTGTTGGAAGAAGTAGACCCAGAATGCTCCTTAGATGCAAGGATTGCGATACTTTGTTTCTCATACTTTGGACATGTTACCAGGAGGGACCAGTCCCTGGAGAAGACCATCATATTTGCTAAAGTAGAAGGTCAGAGAAAAAGAGGAAGACCTCCAAGAAAATTGACTGACATGGTGACAGCAACAGTGGGCTCACACATAATATAGTTGTGAGGATGGCACAGGATCAGGCAGTTCGTTGTGCCAGAGGGTCGCTGTGAATCACAGCTGACTCTGGCATCTAACAAGTACCTTCTTAATAACAGATGTATTTTATAGTGTCTTTGTGATACTTCAGGGATGAAAAACTCCCCAGCATTTCATCATCCCCACCACACACACATTCCTGCCCTCCACCATTGGATTATTTGGAAACCAAGCCCAGACATCATATTATTTAGGCATGTTTCTTTTAAAAAGACATCTGGGGGAGGAAAGAGAATACATTGCCAAATCATGAATTTAGCTATTCCATTAGGACCCTGATAAACCTACTTTGAAAATCTCTTTTCCAACCACATTGCTACATGAATCATCTACTTAATGCAATATAGGTCTGCTCATTATTCCCTACACATACTATAAATTCCTGATATTTTGTTCATTTCTTTCTCCTGTTTTGATGTATTCTGTAGCCTGTTCTTTATTCTACTATGCCCATCTAACATGTGCCTTTGAAGGCTTGACTCAGTTCATGCTTTCTCCTTACCTGACTTTTCCCTCAGGACATTTTTTATCTGCTCCACTCAGGTATCATTTGCATATGCTACAATGTGTTTCTGTGAAGTTTTAAATATGTGACCTGTTCTGACACAAGTGTAACTGTTGAGTACATCAATTGTCTCATGTATTGTTGTTGTTGTTATGTGCCGTGGAGTCGGTTCTGACTCATAACGAGGTTTCCGAGGCTATAAATCTTTACAGGAGCAGAAAGCCTCACCTTTCTCCCGCGGAACAGCTGGTAGTTTCCAACTGCTGACCTTGCGGTTCGCAGTCCGATTCGTAGCCACTACGCTACCAGAGTATGTATAAGGGTACTAATAATCTCTACCTCAGATGTCTGGAAACAAAAAAGATAATGCAAAACAAATGCTGAATGACTATTGCTAATTGTTGTTACCGTTAGCTAGCTATACACTCCTGGGAGAAAATAATCATGTTATACTTCTTTAAAACCCAGTATCTGGCCTCACGCCGCAGGACAGAGCCCCGAATTCATAAATGTATGTTTACTTATTTGCTTAAGAAGAAATCAGTACCTTGTGTTTCCTGTGATTATTATTACTCACTCTTTATTAACATACTTTCGTATGTGTTCAAAATGTATTGTCAGATACTGATTGTGTTTTCTGTCACGAATTGATCATTAGAGTTATTTCACAGTTGAAGACAAGTTAGCTGCTCTCCACCCAGCTTTTCAGATAGGAAAGAGAGGCTGATTCTAAGCTACTGGTAGGGCTTAGTGATCTCTGTGACCTTCTGTAGGCTAGAACCTTAACACTTCTGTACTAGTTACCTATCAATTCAACTTTGATCAGCTTTAGTCTCATGACATTTCTTACAGTATTACATCGTTGAATTTAGAATTTTGTTGTGTCTCCTGTTTACCTTAACCCAAAGACTGAGAAGAAAGTACCCTGAACATCTCATGATTAATGTTTTTAACTATTTTGAGATAGGTCATTCTGTTTGCTTTAGGGGAGAAATTAAAACATGACTCTTAATGGGTAACTGTCTGGTGTTTTTCTACCTGTGTAGTTTTTCTTATAATATTTTTATTTTTCTCTTTTTAGTCTGCCATTTTCAATTTTCAGAGTCTGTTGACTGTAATCTTGCTGCTTATATGTACCTGTGCTTATATCCGATCCTTGGCACCCAGCGTCCTGGACAAAAATAAAACTGGGTATGTTACTAAATTCAAATTAGTTTTTTTATATAGTGAATGTAATTACCTTAAAATTCATTAGATAATTTCATACCTATGTGTAAACTAGTTTTGTAGTAAGTTTTTGCATTATTTTCTTCCTTTGCTTTTAAAAATGCAGAAAACTGTCTATTCAGAGTATTTTTTAATAAATTGTTTTTGTTGGTAAAAGCTATCAGGTTGGTTCCAACTCATAGCAGCCCCAATAAGGTTTCTGAGGAGCAGTTGTGCTTTGAACTGCCGATGTTGTAGTCTGCAGTCCATTGCTTATCTCACAGCAACACACCAGAACTCCTTTAATAAATTAGGAGATTTTAAAAATGGCAGTTTTTGCAGGAACTGGGATACAGTACAATTTAATACTTTTAAAGACACCATTTGGCCTTCGTTTTTATAGAATCATTAATAAACTTGATCATCAAATTTTTTAAAAGCCATAGACTGTTTGCAAGCCCTGTGTCCATAAATATTGTTGTTGTTAAGAGCTGAGTTGATTCTGATCCATAGTGACCGTGTATAGGGTTTCCAAGGAGCAACTGGTGAGCTTGAACTGGTGACTTTGTGGTTCAAACGAACTTTGCAGTCCAGTGCATTAACATACAGTGCCTCATCGGGACTCTGTGTCCATAAATAGCGTCATTAAATAAAACTAATAAGACTGCTCTGTAAATCATGTAGGCCTCCTAAGTCTGTATCTTAAAGTAAGCATCTTTGGAGAAAGCTCAATAATAAAAATTGAAGCCTTGCACATACTGTATAATTTTCGATTATACATTCACATCCTGAAAATATTTGAGCTTAGTGTGACAACAAAGAATCAAAATTGACCACATGTGTTTTAAAGAGCCATGTTCATCGTGCAAAAGGCAGGCTGAATTCATCCAAAAAGAAGAGCATACTTTTTTAGCATTCATCTTAAAAGAGTTCATGTCAAAACTTGATAAACTTTCTTTGTCTTATGTGTTTACAGATTTCTATAAATAAATCATCTTAATCCTTTATGGATAGGAGCCAACATGTCAATGGTTTTAGGAAATAAAAGGATGCAATAAGAATATATTTTATGTAGAAATCATTATCTTCAACACCTTCCTTTGTTTTCAGTGGAAAATAAAAGGCAAAACAGTAAGATCCTTTACAGTCAAACCCTACTCTTCCGCAAATATAAATAGGATAGCTAACAGATATGCAATCATAATTTGTATCTCCACTCTACCTTTGGTAAGAACCCTGGTAATGTATTGTATTACAAATTGGGCTGCTAACCACACAAGGTCAGTAGTTTGAATCTACTAGTTCCTCCATGGGAGAAAATGAGGCATTCTGCTCCCTAAAGATTTACTGCCTCAGAAACCTGTACAAGGTTGTTATGAGTCGGAACCGACTTGCCAACACACCACCACTACCACCACTCTTCCTTTGAGCACATAACTACGTTTTTTGTGTTTTGTTTTGTTTTTTTCCCCAGGCATCCCACCCTTAAGCTAAATCATTTGCCCCCCAGTACCACCCTTGTTGGAGTCCTGGTGTGGCACTGTGAGTTAATGCACTGGACCGCAAGATCTGTTTGAACTGCAAGATCAATGGTTCAAACTCACCAGCAGCTTCTTGGAAACCCTAGGCAGGGTCACTATGGGTCAGAACCAACTCGACGGCATTTAACAAAAACAGCAACCATCCTTGTTATTTATTAAGGCTACTTGATGATGTCTAAGTTTTACTCTCATTGACGTATAATATGTGTTGAATAAGATACTTGTCTTTATTTCATTTAAAAACAAGTAGTAAAATAAAAATTTATACTCTTCTGATGCTATTATGAAGTTTTTCTTTCAAAAGAAAATAGTTTGCATGTGGAAATATCTGCTCCTCATTCCTTTAGGAGCAGAAATAAATCCATAACATGCTACATTAAAATAGGAGTTCTCAGGGCTACCAACCTTACAGTAGAGGTTGAGTAGTAGTATATTTCTCCTACACAAAGACAAAATAAACTTGTGTGTGTGTGTGAAAATATACACATTAAAACATGTTCCCATTTGACACTTTCTTTACCTACTGTGATATTAGATTACCTACATTCACACTGTGTCACTGTTAATATCATTTCTACTCTAGCTGTTTTACCACATTCATTTCACTGTTCCCTAAACTTCTCATCTATGCTTTAGAATTACTGCTGCCACTTTGCTCTCCTAGAGTTTTTATTTACGCTCAATGTGCCTAACTGTTAAGTAATTTTACATTTTAAAGTGTATACTGATGTAGTCAACTGTTTGAAAGTCCTCATTTTGTTTTTATTTTTATAAATGTTGCGTTGAAATCAAATTGACATAGTAGTGAGTTTTTTAAACTCCTTATCATTTGAACAAATTTCTTATAGATTCATGTCCTTGTCTCTCATATAATCATAATATTTTTATGAGATGTGTCAGAAAAATTTCGTTATACTGAGCGTATTACATGCTTAGGTACAGATGTCTGTCTAGACAGATTGGATAAAATGAGTTCTTGATGATATCATTTTTTAATGAAGAGAAAAGAAAAATAATTATGTTGTCATGTTTCCTACTTTGATAAACTGATATGATAGCATTTCAGCAGATAGAACTATTGGTTTACAGAGTTCCTACTTTTTAACATTTGAGTATTACAAAAGCATATCTTGTTGAGGAGTCTCTAGATAAGATATATTTGGAAAGGTCCAAGGAGGTGCGGATAAATCTCTTTAAGTTGCTAAATTCGAGTATTCTTTTTTTTTATTTTCCTTTTATTTTTAAAAAAGTTCCTTTTTAGTATGTTCTGTGTTTTATACCAATTTCCTAAGTAGACTTTGAATTATATCTAGAATATCAGAGCTGAAAAGACCTTAGCTTTGTTGTATTGTAACTTAAGACTGTTCTGTGAAGCTCTAAGCCAAGGGATGTCAGAGGTCAGTTCTGCCTCTGGGTCCTTAAATCAGCCGAGCTTTAAATCAATAGTGCATGTTAGTATAATCTATAGATTAGCAGACTCAGAAACCAAAGTGTTGAAAATATCCAACCAAATAAAAAGGAAACTCCAAAAAGTTCATTTAAAAATGAATTAAAAAATAATGGGATTTTTCCACAAACTTTTGAAAGTCCTCTCGGATCATCCTTTTTTGTTATGAAAAAATAAGAATAAAAAGCTTTTAAGGAATATCTGGAGTTACTGTCACATGTGACTTTTATTCTGTGTATTGCTAAACACAACATATGAGTCACTTTTGTAATGACTTTCTGTGGTGCAATAACTCATTTAATTATTCAATTTCTTCAGTATTTTAACTTGAGACTAATTTTTTCTTCAGCTCACTTTCTTCCCGTTTGGCTTTCTAGTTCCAGGTGTTTGTATGTTTCATGATCATTCTTCCTTTTCTCAAACCGCTCTTTGAAATCACCTAATCAGGTCTTTTACTTGATCAGTTCTTCCACGGACATTATATACGAGAGGGCTTCAAAAGCTTCATGGAAAATGGAATTAAAAGGCAGTGGAATTTTTCCATGAGCTTTGTAAGTCCTGGTATATGTAAACTCAACTATGTTGTTGTTAAGTGCCATCAAGTTGGTTGTTCTCACCCAAAGTGACCCTATGTAGGGTTTCCAAGGAGTGGTTGGTGGATTTGAACTGTGACAGCCTTGTGGTTAGCAGTCCAGTGATTATCCTATAGAGGCACACCAGGACTCCAAACTCATACATAGTGTTTTTCTCCCACAGAGTAGCTGGTAATTCAGTGCTTATCCTATAGTGCTACTAGTGCTCTACAAACGGAGCTACAAACTATAAAATTTAAGTTTGGAAAGAGTTTTATTATTTTATTGTCAAAATTTATGCAAAACCTTTTCTTCTTTTCTCATAATTGATATTTGCATAAATTTGGCATTTTATATACATTTTTTTTTTTTTTAAGGTTTTCATGTGGATTGAGTGAAAGTTTACAGGGCAGATCATCAGTTTTATATTCAACAAATCATACACCTTGTTTCATTACAATGATTATAATCCCCTCCATGTACCATCAGTTGACAGTATTTCTCTCTATTCACTTTAGCTTTTTTTTTTTAAGCACTCAGGCATATATAATAATTTACACCACCAAAGAGCACATTCTGCAAGTCTGCCTCTTGGCCGCCAGCTCTTAGTCCCTCTCTTTCCATGAATCTGGAGTCCTCAGCTGCTCCCTCTCTCCTTGTCCCCATCTCTACCTCCATCTCTGGAGTCCCTGCTTCTCCGCATAAGGTCTCGCATTCGACTTGTACTCTTCTACCTTGATGGTCCTAGGATCCTTTGTTTCTGGACTGTAAGATTAACCACTCTCCTATTGTTGTTACAAAGCTTCTACCTTTACAATTGTGACAGTCGCAATTAGTCATGATAACAGTTACTTACTATTGAATCATAAGAATGTTATCCCCATCTCTTTTAACCAGACACATCTAGACAAGAAGAAAACTATTCGGTGGGGACTCTTTCTTTCCCCACACACTATTAAACTAAACTCCCTCTTGAAATCTTGTAAGCCAGTCACTTTGTGCCTTTATTGCCCCCTCGTTTAAGTAGCCATGTCTAAGTTACCCATCCCTATCTACCCTGTGTACAGAGGGGATAGCATTGATACTTGATGTGAAGACTCCTTCCTCTCTGTTGGTATTTAGAGTTACTACCTCCATGAGGATAAAGAGCTCTGGTAGCATAGTGGTTACGAATCGGACTGCGAGCCGCAAGGTCAGAAGTTCGAAACTACCAGTGGTTCCGCGGGAGAAAGATAAGGCGCTCTGCTCCCGTAAAGATTTACAGCCTTGGAAACCCTGTGTAGGGTCACTATGAGTCGGAACCGACTCCACGGCACACAACAACAACAACAGCATCACCTGCATGAGGATAGGTCAAGTTCATCCAATTGTAGCAATTTACCCTCATTTCCTTTATCAGAATTTGTTTTATTCTTTTTTTTTGTCATCATCCTCTAGTCACGTTCTGATTATCAAGCCGTCAAGGCTAGGTCAAATGGGTACTATCTGCAACTTTGGGTTGGCATTGCATTTAAAGGTAAATTATTTGAAACTGACTAAACTATTCCTACCTACTGTTGTTTTTAAACACTGGTGGTTAGTAGTTCCAGTGTTTATCCTAATTTGCCTTATCAGGACCTTATACAAATCTTGCTATTCTCACATTGATTTGCCCTGAATGTGCAATATGATACCACTTTTATTCCAGTTTATGTTGTTTTGGTAGTGTTAAGTACTGTTGATTCAATTCTGACTTATAACGACCCTGTATAGAGTTTCCGAGGAGCGGCTAGTGGGTTTGAACTGCCGACCTTGTGGATCAAACTGACTTTATGGTCTGACACATTATCCTGCAGCGCCATATCAGTTTATAGAAGTTTCTATACATTGATGGTGGTTTGACATCAAATAAGCAAATGTCAGATCTGAAAGAAAGCATCAGAGGTCAAAATGCCCATATCTGTTGAGTTCTTGAAACTACTGTGGAATATGTGATACTGAGGGAATGATTTACCTTTTCCAGTATTCAATAGCTACTTTTTCTTTTTTATTCTATGCAGAGTGTTGGGTATATTTTGGAAGTGTGCCAGAATTGGTAAGTATCTATAATCTCACTCCATTTTTTCAACTGTAAGTTTTTGACCAACTTATTTATATTGCATCACACAAATTAAATGTCAGTTTTAAAAGTGCAGGTGTCTTCATTTTATTGGTTTTTCTGTCGATTTTTTTGCAAAGTTGATATATTTCTACCTCCCTCATTTCTTTACACTGTTTAAAACTGAATTTGGTAGATATCACATAAATGCTTCATTAGCTAGTAAGAAGATGGAAAATATAAGAGAAGTATCTAATTTAGATATCAAGTACCATACATTCTTGGTTTCTGAGGGATTTCAGGCAAATGTGTATAGTTTTGTGCATGCATGCTCATAATATAGCACTTGTTGTTCTTATCACGGAGTCCTGGTGTGGCGCTGTGGCCTAATGCGTCAGACTGTGAAGTCGTTTGAACTGCAAGGTCGGTGGTTCAGGCTCACCAGCTGCTCCTTGGAAACCCTATATGGGGTCGCTATGGGTCAGAATTGACTCGACAGCACTTAACAACAACAACATTCTCACAACATGTACCGTTTTGATAATTGCTGTAATTGATGATAAATATAATCTTTCCATAGCAATACTGTTTGTTGTTAAGTGCTGTTGAGTCTGTTCCAACTCATAATGACCGATGGGTTTGAACCACCAATATTCGTAGCATATAGATATCTAGATACAGAACAACAACAACAATAACATCTAGATATAGAGAAATTCTTTTCTTGTCCCATCTTCCTATATATGCAAAAAAATCTTTATAAAGTTCGTAGAACTTTCTTCTTTCGATTCTACTTTTTCCACAAAGTTTTGAAACATCCTCATATATATAGTACAATGCCCAGCACATAGTAGACATACAAGTAATTGACAAGTGAGAGAGTTCAAATATATTTTATTGCTGTAAGTCACCAGTATTCTTGAGTAATTGTAACTTTCATTTAACATGTGTAACTCCAAAGAAACACCCTTTCATCTCCGATATGTTACAGGAAATTAAATTGATTAGAGACTGAAAACAACTAAATTCTTAGAATACTTAAGAGAATTTTTTCCTAAAGAAGATATGGGGATTGATGTATTATATCTAAAGATAGCTATATAAGATGAACAAGAAGTCTCTGCTAAGAACTCAAACTGATTACAGGAGTTTCAAATCTTAAAACAATCTTCTAAGAGTTGTAAGATTTTTAATCACTGAAATAATTTTGACAATTTTTTTTCTCCTAAACTTTTAATGATATGTGAGACAACCATAAATGGTAGAATTTATAAGTGTACTATTACTGAGTTCTCCAGAAATACATTCTAAATATGTGATCCTTAGGTCATAAGATTCTCTGACCTTTCTGGTTTCTTACTGTAGAAAAATGATGTTAAGTGCTGTCAAGTTGGTTCTGACTCAGAACAACCTGTATAGGGTCTCTGAGGAGCAGCTGGTGAATTTGAACCACTGAACTTGTGATTCAAACCAACCTTGTGGTCCAGTTCATTTAATCACAATGCCAAAAATTGTAAAGTTGTTCACAGAAAAATACCTCTTTCAAAACTCTCATTTCAGTGTAATCACTTTTAAAAAGACATCTCTTTCAAGGATTTCAGTGTTCTTTCAGCATGTTAAACAACTCTTCGTAATCTTTCTGTAATGTTTGCTAACTTTTGGATAAGCATGAGACAATTTCGGTTCTCAGATGGATTGTTGACCTTACATTGGTAATGACACAGAAGTAGCTTATGTAAGTGGTTATCAATCAGGGAATATTTGACAGTGTCTGCAGACATTTTTAGGTGTTACAACTATAGGGCAGTTCCCGGAAACAAAGAAATATCCCACCCAAAATGTCATTAGTGCTGTAAATAGAAACCCTGGCCCAGATTTACAGAATCATGCAGAACAGATACAAACCCTGAAATAACAAAAGAAATCTTAAGTATGCCCAGAAGAATCAAGGATAAAGGAGAAGGGTGCAGGGGGAAAAAATAGCAGCCATAGTGGCTAATGCTAATAGCTCCTGATGAATGTAGATGTATGTAAACCCAGTTGTTTGCTTTAGAACCAAGTTACCCTGAAAAGGAAATTAAAGATATTGCCAAGGAACAAAGTAATAGAAAACCCCAAGTGAACTATAAAGGAAGAGCATAATGGAAGAACAAAACTGTATAGGACTAGAGATAATATCATGGTATTACAATAATTACTCAGGGTCCTTGTTGTTGTTCAGGGCCATCTACTCAGTTCAGACTCATAGCGACCCTGTACACAATAGAACAGAGCACTGCCCAGTCCCGCGCTATCCTCACTATCGTTGTTAGGTTTCAGTCCATTTCTGTCACTCCATCTCACTGAATGCCTTACTCTTCTTTTGTAATCCTCTATTTTACCAAGCATGATGTCCTTTCCAAGTACTGATCTCTTCTGATAACTTGTACAAAGTATGAGAGATGAAGTCTCACCATCCTCCCTTCTTAGGGGCATTCTGGCTGCACTCTTCCAATACAAATTCGTTTAGTGTTCTGGCAACCCATGGTCCTTTTAGTGATCTTCTACAGTTTTCCTTATTCATTGTCCAACTTTCACATGCATATGAGGCACACATTAGTCTTCAAACTGATACCTTTGCTCTTTTACACTTTCCAGAGGTCATGTGCAGCAGATTTGACTGAAGCAATATGTCATTGATTTCTTGACTGCTGATTCCATGAGTGTTGATTGTGGATCCAAGCAAAATGAAGTCTTTGACAGCATCAATCTTTTCTCCACTTCTCATGATACTTACTTGTCTAGTTGTAAGAATTTTTGTTTTCTTAGTTTACATTGAGGTGCAAGCCATACTGAGAACTGTAGTCTTTGCTCGTCATCAATAAGTATTTTAAGTCTTCTTTCTTCCAGCAAGCAGGTTGTATTATCTGCATAATGCAGGTTGTTAATGAGGCTCCTTCCAGTCTGATGCCATGCTTTTCTTCATATAATCCAGCTTCCAGATCATTTGCTAAGCATACAGACTGAAAGAATACAACCCAGGTACATACTTTCCTGGTTTTCAGCCATTGCATATCCCCATGTTCTGTTCTAGGGACTATCCACCTCTTGATCCATGTACAGGTTACCCATGACATGACATTTACATGCTATGAAATACCTATCCTTTGCAATGTTATCTATAGTTTGTCATGATCTATACAGTCAAAAGCCTTTGCATTTTAATTGTACTTCTAAGAAATCTGTACCTAGACCAAGAAGCAGTTGTTCGAACAGAACATGGGAACACTGAAAGTTTTAAAATTGGGAAAGGTGTGAGACAGGGTTGTATTCTTTCACCATACTTGTTCAACCTGTATGCTGAGCAAATAATACGAGAAGCTGGGTTCTATGAAGAAAAACGTGGCATCAGGATTGGAGGAAGACTCATTAACAACCTGCGATATGCAGATGATACAACCTTGATCGCTGAAAGTGAAGAGGACTTGAAATATTTACTTATGAAGATTAAAGAGCACAGCCTTCGATATGGATTGCATCTCAATGTCAAGAAAACAAAAATCCTCACCACTGGACCAATAAACAACATTCTTATCAATGGAGAAAGGATTGAAGTTGTCAAGGACTTCATTCTTCTTGGATCAACTATCAACACTCGCGGAAGTAGCAGTCAAGAGATCAGACGACATATTGCACTGGGCAAATCTGCTGCACAGGAACTTTTTAAAGTATTGAAGAGCAGAGATGTCAGCTTGAGGACTAGGGTGCGCCTGACCCAGGCCATTGTGTTTTCAATAGCCTCATATGGATGCGAAAGCTGGACAGTGAATAAAGAGGATCGTAGAAGAATTGATGCCTTTGAGTTGTGGTGTTGGAGGAGAATACTGAGGGTGCCATGGACTGCCAAAAGAACCAATAGATCTGTTTTGGAAGAAGTGCAGCCAGAGTGCTCCTTGGAGGCCAGGATGGCTAAGCTTCGTCTCTCCTACTTTGGACATGTAGTCCGGAGGAAACAATCGTTGGAGAAGGATGTCATGCTGGGTAGGGTGGAGGGTCAGAGAAAAAGAGGAAGACCTCCAACGAGATGGATCGGCCAGGTGGCATCATTGATGGACTCGGGGGTGGCAGCGGTGGTGAGGTTGGCCCAGGATCGAACATTGTTTCGTTCTGCTGTGCATGGAGTCGCTATGAGTCGATTCCGACTCGATGGCACCTGACAACAACAACAACAACATCCCTCATTCCATGTCCTATTCTAAATACAGCTTGAATTTCTGATAGTTCCCTGCCGATGTACTGTTGCAACCACTTTTGAATTATCTTCAGCAAAATCCTACTTGCATGTGATATTAATGATGTTCAATTATTTCCACATTCCATTGGGCCACCTCTCTTTGGAAAAGACACAAATATGGGTGGGTGTCTTCCAGTTGGTTGGCCAAGTAGTTTTCTTCCAACTTTCTTGATATAGATGGCTGAGTGCCTCCAGTGCTGCATCAGTTTGTTGAAAGATTCCAATTTCTGTTCACCAGTGCCTTTTGTGCGGTTGGCACTTCTTCATTCAGTATCATCTACCTCTTAAGCCATTTATTTTTGGTATTGTGACTCTGTGTATTCCTTCCATATACTTTTGATGCTTTCTGCATCCTTCAGTATTTTGCACATGTTGTTGTTAAGTGCCATAGAACTGGTTCCAACTGATAGCGACCCTATGTCCAACAGAACAGAATGCCCCCTGGTCCTGCACTTGACAGTGCTGGTACACTTGAACCCATTGCTGCTGCCACTGTGCCAATCTATCCTGGTGGTGGTCTCCCTCATCTTCACTGTCCGTCCACTTCACCAAGCATGATGCCTTCCTCCAGTGACTGGCCCCCTCCTTAAGACTAATTATTGGTAAAAATATGAAAACTCTGGGTTAGCAGGCTGCATTTTCATTTCAATTGTATCATTAAATCTTGTTCTTGGAAAATTAACCCATTTTATGTACAAAATTATAGAAATGTGTACAGCTTCTCCGAGACTTTTCTGTTGAGTCCATTCAATAGTCAACTCTAGATAATCTTGGCTCATCAATAGTACTTGAAGAGTATCTGCCTAAATCTTGGAAATATCCACTTTGTAGCTTTCTTAATGATGCTCTGTAGTATGATCTATTTTTACATCCAATTATAAAGTGCTTATTTTTCTAACCATTTTTTTTTTTCTTTCAACTGTATGGGTGTAACAGGCTGAATGATTTCATTAAAAGTGTTCATTATTCTTGCCCATTATGTGAAAGCTTTAACTTTTTCATTTTAGAAGAATAACTTAGAAAAATGGTGAGTACTTATTATATACTGTTTTCTCAACCACATACACTTATCTTGACACAGAATATATCCACAAAGAATGGATATTATTTCAGTGGAGAAAGGCCCAGTCTTAGTCATCTTAAGTTACACATCACATTACCAACAACTGTTTTACATTCACGTATACAGGCCTCAGACCAGACAAGGGATAGCATTCTTACCAGGTTCAACCAAACATGTTTACCACATGGCAAATCTCTTTTAAGAAAGTTAAGAATAGGAAAATGAAACCCATATGTAAATTATAACGTTGTGAGTTAGAGGATAAGGAAGAGGAGAACTTCCTCAAAAACTAATTTCCCACAGATGGAAAAAATTTGACAATATCCTTTTTTTTTTCCTTAGGTGTATAATAAGCTTATATACTCCTATTAAATTGTTGTTGTTGCAAAGTGCCATTGAGTCAGTTCCAACCCACAGCAACCCTGTATAGGGTTTCCAAGGAGCAGCTGGTGAGCTTGAACCGCCAACCTTGCAGTTCAAGCGGCTTTGCAGTCTGGCGCATTAACCCAATAATGAGAGTGACAAATTTGCTTATTTAATCTACCTAAAAGTCGAGTTAGAATGATTTGGTTTGCTTTTCAGACAGGGTTGGAGAGGTTGGCTATAATTTTTTATTTTAATCCATAAGAGTTCACATTGCTTTAAAATTATAACCAAAGTACATTTAGGTTTTGGTTTTTGGGTGTGTTTTTTTTCACGTTTTAGATTTAAAAGAACTTTTTTCCTAGTTGAAATGGTATTATGTTACTGAAAAACACTCTTCTCTCACTGAACAGCTGATATTGCAATGGTTAAGCACACTGCTGTTCAGATCTACCCCACAGCGCCATGGAAGAAGGGATCTGGCGATCTGTTCCTATAAGGATTAAACTAACCCCACTGCCATCAAGTCAATTCTGACTTCTAGTGAACCTATCTAGGGTTTCCAAATCTAAATCTCGTGGGAGCAGAAAACTTTCTTTCTCCTTCATAGTGGTCAGCGGGTTTGAGCTGCCCACCTTGTGGATATCTGCTCAGTGCTTATCTTACAACATAACCAGGGTTCTTAACAAAAGATTACAGCCTATGAAATCCTATGAGACAGTTCTACTTTGCCTAATAGGTTCACTAGGAGTCAGAATCTACATAATGGCACACCACAGTTCTCTCACTTTCTACATTTTTCTTTAGATGAAAGGCAGTCTATGTATGTGTGTGCTGTGTGTGAGAGAGATTCTATGGACATTATTATTGAGCAGACAAAAGGATATAAGTTTACAAATAGCATGGCAGTGTGCACTCAGCAAGAAGTGCTAAAAATAAAAATGACCTTGACAGTTTTAGTCGATACTGATGATGAAGATTGAAGTTTTCCAGCAGCTTTTAATTGAACTTGCTGGGTGGAAAGGGGAATTTAGGAGCTTGGAAAGAGCTGATTTTAAACATGGAAAAAATACAAGTGATGGGAGTCTATAAACGAGCTCTATAAGAGAGCACTAGATAAATGACCAAGATTATTTCTAGAAGGAGAACATCTCTGTTTATTCCTCCTCCTCTTCCCTTTTCCCTTCCTTCCTGTGCTACCCTAAAGACAGCATGTAAATGCCTGATGCTTTATGGATTACTGATGATGTTAAGTGCTGTCCAGTCGGTTCCTAGTTACAGCAACCCGGTGTAGGGTTTCTGAGGAGTGACTGGTGGGTTTGAACCTCCGACCTTAAAGTTCAAACCGACCTTGCTATCCAGTGCTTACTCTACAGCACCACTCTACAACTCCTTTGGATTACTACAGCCTTATACTTAACTGAAGAAACAGAAAAATGACAAGAATTGAATAAGTTAACTCACAATCACAGGATCCCATTATCTCATTATGTTTATGTGACAATTTCACAAGCCAATTTCAGTTCTAATTCATGCAAAGGAAAGTCTCCAAGTATAAACACTTCTGAAACACATGTGAAAATTGATCATACAGAATTGTGATTAGTATAAGTCCTACATTTCTAACCTAGAGTAATCACGTTATAAAAGACTAGATAAGAAATCCATTTCAGAAAATTTATTTCTATTGTTTTATTAAGCAGTTGATTTTTATGTTCACTTAAAAAATGTACTTTTTTACATGAAGAAAATAAATTTTTTTTTTTGTTAAGATCGTATCTCTTGAGTATCAGTCCTACATTCTGCTTTTTGTTATACTGTATTTTTTGTAAGTCTAAAGTAACACTGGCACAGTAAGGGTTCTTCAAGGGTTTTCTAATCAAATGAAACAACTTTGGTCTTAGAATTGAAGTACATGGATGTAGTTTAGCTCATTTTCTATCTTATTTGTTTTTATATTGTATCTTATTTATATATATCTTGCCTTGCCTACACTCCCAAATGTATGGACCTCATAGGCAAGGACTTTTTCTTGAGTCTTATGTACCCCTCCCCATAGTTATAAATTGTATCCATTTTAACCACTCATTTAATAAAGACGAATATTTTATTTTTTCCAACAGGTGAACGGAAGAGTCCTTATGTTGCAGTATGCTGCATAGTGATGGCCTTCAGCATCCTGTTCATACAGTAGCTTGGGAAAACTCCAGAATTTAATTGCCATCAAATTTCAATATGAAAAAGGACTTATCAGCAGAAAATAACAGAAAGAATGGTTAACCCTTTTATCTCTGAACATTGAGTGAGATACATTTCCAGCTGCTGTTCTCCAATTTTGTTATTGGACCAATGTTCCCTATAAATCATCAAGAAGTAACCATTTAATACTCAATGAGTTTAATATGTCAATATGTCTGTAACAATCAACCTCAGTATTGTCACTACAATAATACATTCTGCCAGTGTCGTTCTGTTGGATCAGATACCAATTTTTAGTGAGATATTTTTGGGTGTATATGTATATAATACAAAACAAAATTGGTAATTATTACTCAAATTCTTTTCACTGTGATTTGGAAATGATAAATCTTTATAGAATGAGACTTTTTTTTTTTTTAACGGGGTAAAAAATGGCTCAATGTATGGTGGTAAGGATTGCATCCATATTTTATAATGCTTGCTTTTCCACTGGCCACACCATTTTGAATGCACGTTAACCAGAGTACCTCGACCCTTAGGAAACGCTGTAGTTTATTATAGACTTTTTAGCTATTTAAAGTAAGACTATGCATTTCTTAAGAAGGGAGATAAATGAGATGTGTCTTCAGAGTATTATTAGGAAAATGTTCGTATTTAACTTAACTTTAGATTAGTTGACTGAAACCTCTGGTCAAGTATAGATAAATGTCTTGATTACACCGATTTGACCAGCTAATTATCTGTCTCTGAATAAGAATCTCCATTCTTAGAATGAAAAGAACAAAACAGAACAATTATAGATAATGGTCCTATGTGTTTTTCATTCTTTTTAATGTCAAGTCTTTGAAAATCAAAAACTGTCCTGAATTCAAACTGTATTTTTGTTTTGTTTTTTCAATACAGCACTTTAAATCTAGTTTACATTTGTCTGTCAACTTGAGCTAGAATATAGTGACTTTTGCTTTTGTAGTTAGTAGGTGATGAAAAATAGTTTTCAAATATACTTATCTATAAACCCTGGCATAAATGTCTTTGAATTTTGATATACAAGGAGGACCTTTGGTATTTTCATCCTAGTCAACAGGAGCATTGGGAATGGAACTTACATGGTTTTTTAATAGTAATTATAAAAGTTTACAAGGAGCTCTGGTAGTGTAGTGGTTACAAAATCGGGCTGCAAACCTTAAGGTCAGCAGTTCGAAACTACCAGCTGCTCCGCGGGAGAAAGATGAGGCTTTCTGCTCCCGTAAAGATTTACAGCCTCGGAAACCCTGTACAGGGCCGCTGTGAGTCAGAACCGACTCCATGGCACTTAACAACAACAACATAAAAGTTTACAGTTAACATGGCTAAGCCACTGACATCTAGTCAACTCCAGCTCATAGGTCAGAATAGAACACTCCCTTAGGATTTCCAGTCTTTATGGACACAGACTGCCACATGTTTCTCCCATGGAGTAGCTTGTGGAGTCAAACTCCTAACTCTGGTTAGTAGCTTTAACCACTGTACCACCAGAACTCCTGAGAGAAGTTAAATTATCCAAGCCTTTTGTTGTTTAATTTTCCCTTCCACTTTATAATAAGAGTTTATGCCTTCGCTACATTTTTTTCTACTATAAAACAGTTACCGAGTGAATTCCAGCTCATGGTAACCTCGTGTGCATAAGTAACACCATGGGGTTTTCAGTGACTGATTTTTTTGCAAGTAGGTTGCCAGGCGTTTCTTCCAAGGTACATTATGGCTACTACTAAATTGTTCTCAGCTACTATTTTCCCAGAAATAGGTTAAAAGAAACATTCTCTCTCTTTTTAAGAAAAGTATTAGGGATTATTTTAATGAGTCTGCTAGTAGCCCATTCTGTAAAATCAAAGCGTGAAAGAAACTACAAGCCCCTTATTAATGAAGACTAAAGTGTTTGGAGTGATTGCTAAGAAACATATCAACAAACCCTACATTTGTTGCCTGTTTTTTTATCTTTCTTTTTTCTTAAGAGCCATGCTGGGGTAGACTAATGTATTAGTTTTATTTGCTATTTTTGACATTTCTCCATCTAGTTAAAAGTGGTATATTTTACTTTAGATAGGGATCAGGTTATGACAATGATTCCTACTATGAACTGTCTCTTGGTCTTAGCATCAGGTTCAGGATTTTCAAGGCATCCCAAAACTAGGACTCTTTGTCAGCATCTGCATGCAGAATAAGTCACTATTCTGGGTCTTCTAGTTTCGGGTGGCCATCTGGTACCCAGCCTTGGCTGCCAACAAAACTTTCCAAAAGTTCTTGTGAGCTAAAGTTTTATATGCTAATGTGACACTGTGTTAATGCAATGGACTGCAAGTTCAGTTTGAACCGCAGAGCCGACTATCAGGCTCACCAGCCACTCCTCAGAAACCCTATACAGGCTCGCTAAGAGTCAAAACAGACTCGACCGCATTTAACAGCAGTGTAAACCTAAGGAGCCCTGGTATCATAGTTGGCTATGCATTGGATCACTAACCACAAGGTCAGCTGTTCGATTTTACCAGGAGAAAGATGAGGCTTTCTGTTCCCATAAAGACTTACAGCCTCAGAAACAGGGTCACTATGATTAATAACCAACTCCATGGCACACCACCACCACCAATGTAAATCTAATATGAAAAAAGTACAGATTATTCTAGGTAGTTCTAAAATAATTGTAAGGCATTTTGGATGAGGTAGGTGGGCAATGAAGAAAGAAATAACTTCTCTGGATAACTGTGATAGCATAGATAAAGAATTACTGTGTGTAGATGCTGAATGGAGTTGGAGATAGCTTATTTCTAACCCCAACATTTTTAACCTTCTGAAACACGAACTTGAGGTGGGGGAAAGACACAAGGTCTTCAGAAAAAAATTAGCATTTTTTAACATAGTTATTTCAAGGAACTATTGATTCCTGTTCTCTAATCCAAGGGCAGCATAGACAGTTTTAAACCCACAGAATATTCAGACTGGTGGGATACAGAAGATGATAAAAGCTCAAATTTGGCCTCAGACAGTTGCCCTGTCACATAGTCCTTCCTATTCAGGGCTAAGTGCAGGTATGGAATGGTTAGCACTGAAATCTACATTAGGTTCAGATGTTCTCCCTGAACTCCTTTCAGGCTCCAGGTTCTCTCTATTCTGGAATTATTTTGTGCTGATATCTAGTTTCTAGTTTATGGCTGGAGTCCTGGTATGGCGTTGTAGGATAGGCACTACACTGTCAACCACAGAATCAACAGTTCAAACCCACCAGCTGCTCCTCAGAAACCGTATACAGAACTTCTTGACTGCACTTAGCAGCAATAATTTATGGCAATTGTGCCATTGGTATGGGAGTGTCTACATTCAGACATTCTTCCAAGATGGTCCATCTAAAACAACGTAATCAGTTTCATTTATTCACTCTGGTACAAAAAAAGATGAAGTTCAAGTTCAGTGTCTATTTAATGCTCTATGCTACCATCTTCAATACCCTTAATGGGTTCAGATTCAGAATAGGTAGCCCTTTTGTGCTTAGGATAACTGTAATAAGTGATTTGTAATAGACACCTTCATCTCAGTAATATGCATATCAGTCTAGTTTTAGGACAAAGACATAATAACCCTTGTAAATAGTAGACTATATTATGTTCACCATTCTTTTAAGAATTATGTATAGAGTGTATACGTTATCGCTGAAGATACAGAGATAACTACAGTTTCTTCCCTTTAGTAGTTCATAGTATCATAAGTGAAAGAGATGAAGTTATTTATACAAAGTACAATGTGATGGCATTTATTCGTTGTTACAAGTGCAGGGTTCTAGTAAGAAATGAACTAACTATCCGGTCAGACATGTAAACTTTAGTGATGGGGGAACAGTAATTCAGGAAAGAGAGAAATCCTTAAATAGCAAAGTGTGGAATTTCAAGGACTATAAGTATGAAGCTTATATTACGTGGGGAATATTTTAAGATAAATTTAGGCAGAGGTGATCCTCTAGGTCTTGTATTTTACTCTTTGCTCTCTATTATCTACCTCAATATTGAACCTAAGTATAGGTTCTCTCCTGCCTGACACAAGACTCCTTTGGAAACAAATTTTCCCTTTGTATGAGTAAAGAAGGTTTTGGACCAGGAACACAAAGGTATAGTCTTGAGATACATCTGCACAGCACAGAAGTGAGTGTTTAGGAACTCAGAACAGCTCATACTCTGGTTGCCCAAAGCAGCCATGATTATTAAAGTATGCATCTGCATAAGCATTCAATACATTATCTACAGTTCCTGGCTGAAAACAGAAAAATGTTACTCATTTAGGATTTGTGTTCTTCTGAAAGCCGCTGAGAAACTACTAAATCTAAGCTAAAAACAACGAGAGATTTTTGGTTACCACTCGTCAAGTTCTTTGGTTTCTAGTAATATAGTACAGGTTAAAAATACAAGTCACTGACTTATATTATACCAGTCGGCATGGTTAATACACAGTCTTGTTATTCTCCATAAGCAAATCACTACTAGCTTCCAAAAACAACTTAATAATTGTGTCATTTTCACCTGCCTTTCGGTTCATCTTACTTTGCTCTAAACTAATCCCCACTAAGTATCAGACAATAAAGGAGGAAGGGAGAAATATGTCTCCTGTGCTCTTCAGAGTACAGTTAATCATCTTAGTCTCTGGCTAGTGCACATGTCTGTGGTGTGCAATAAAAGTCAAAACTGAACTCTCAACAGCCTTCCCGTTTTATCTTATTACAGGATGAGTGAAAAGCTCTTAAGGAGGTTTTTTTAAAATGAAATTGTCATTTCTTGAGTAAAATGGAAAAAAGAAAAATGTTTCTATTCTATTGGCCTGCATTTTAATTCATGACCCACCAAGCTTAGGTTTTTGTTTTGTTTGGGGGAGGGGAGGGAGTATCGGTTTGCGTTTTAAGAATTTAATACATTACTACTGCTTGTAATAAGTTGTCAAAAACCTAGATGGCTTGGCTTTTTTTGCTGTGAATATGAA